ACGGTGCGCAAGAATCAGTCCGGCCGGCATGAGAGATTCCGGTATATACATTGCCAGTTGACTGTATTTGCCAATTACGAGAATTGATGGACAAGATCAATTCTACCCAACGATTTCGGAACCCGCGGAAGCAGCCAGAGATAATTAAAGTCTAATATGGTTTATTATATGAACAATAATCTAATAATAGTACAAATGTGTTCGGATTAGTAATTTATAAGATAAAAATAATCATACTAATACTGAAAATAATGTTAGCTAACAAAAATATCGCAGCTTATATAGCCTCTATTACTAGCTTTCACTAACTAATTGTCTATTAATAAAATTAAATATACATTGGCATTATTAGTTTGAAGGTAGCCGTTATCCACTAAAGCATTATATACTACGGCTTGTATTTGGCGCAGGAATGCTTGGAAAAATACGTCACTATTATGACGCATGACAACTTCATAACAACCGTTTATGAATATCTAACCCTAAAGATAAAAAACACTTAGCTTTAATCCAACATTGCTCTTACACAAATTATTATTATGATGTTTAACATCTGTAACTGTAAAATATTAAAATTTAACAAGGTGTTTAAGCCTATTTATCATTGCAATTATTGTTGTCATATTGTTCCAAAGAGAATATTATCATATCAAACTCAAAACCAATAATTGATTTTCTGTAGTAGTAGCCTTATATGTAATTGCAAGTCATAGAATGTTCAGTGACTGTAATTATATTATGTATCTCCAATTTAATAATGCCAAAAAGTTATAGTAACAGAAATTTGATTCTAAAATTTTTGCCAAAACTGTAGCTCCTGTGTTTCCAAAATGAAGATTCAAAGAAGTCAGTGAAACATTTGATTTTAAAGCTTTTGCTAATACTAAGGCTGTTGCTCCTGTATCTCCAATCTTATTACACTTAAGGTTCAAAAAGGTCAGGGGAGCATTTAATTCTAAAAATTTTGCCAAGAAGAAAGTATTTATTTAATTCTAAAGTTTTTGCTAAAGCTGTTGCTTCTGCAAATCCAAAGAAGTCAGGGAGAAATTTAATTGTAAAGTTTAAGTTTTTGTCTCCAGTCTGATTATACTAAAGATTCAAAGAAGAATTTGATTCCAAAGCTTTTGCTAAAGCTGATGCTCCAATATGATTAGACTGAAAATCAGGGATGAATTCCTCTGCACACAGTTTAAGTTCCCCGGGTACAATTGAGGTGTACCGGAGTACTATATATATATATATAGAGATCTGATTATTATTGTGCAACACCAAAATTAACCAATCAAGTTATCTTAGTTATAAAGATGATGTCACGTAACTGTCAAAAAACACACTGATGGCGTTTCAGAAGAAAGAGATATGCCTTGCACTAATGCAGATAAATGGCTCTCTATCGATCATCATGCACTTGCGTCTAAGAAAAAGAAGAACCGTCTATTATCCTATCCTAATCCTCAGATCCTTAATCTATCACTACTGACATTCTTGCTTTTGATATTAAAATGCTATCAACAATGGATAGTTTTATAAACACCGGATGACTCATAAGTATTTCAAAATAAATATAATTATTATTTAAACTTGTTATACCGAAAAACATATCTGATATCAGTATAAAGAGGTTTGATTTATGTGGTTTAATTTTATAGGGCTTATTGACTGATATAAATTCAAGATATTTGACGACTGAATCATGTGAAAAATTTTATAATGATAGCTCAATTGGTAATATTTGTCTTTCTTCCTTTCTAATTTACATGGTGTTCCTATTTCTTTAACTGAGCGTCTGCCTCTACTCGGTCTCAGATCAACTATAAATCTCCGCAATATTTCCATCATCACAAACAAGAATTTCAGAGTAATAAACGAGAAATAGTTGTATAATATAGAGACAGTGAATAGTTATTTATACATACGTTTCGATATTTATCTCACTCTTGTACTCAGTGGGAAATAGTCTTGGAAATTACAATAGTTTTGCGAAATTCTAGAACATAGTTATTGAAACGATGAAAATGTATTTCGCTAGCTAACAACATCAATCAGATTATTGATATAATCTACAATCATCAATTGTTATTGTATTAAGTAGGAGTAGCTCAATAAATATAATTATTGGTTTAGCATACAATCAATCAGTATTCCATCGCCTTAGAGCGCGTGCAAATCGCAAATTCCGCTAGGAATTCGATCAATTCCGAGTTGGCAGAAAAACGATTGCCATTGTCGAGCCAAATGTCACGGGAAAGCAAGTAACACGTGATTTTGGATTAGTTTACATTATTTATTATTACACCTGAGATGATATTTATTATGACTGTAGAGACGTTTTATTTAATATTAGATGGGAATATGAAAAACTCTGGACATAACATAAAAATGATCCTTGCTAATAACAATGTTAACATCAATACAAGCTAGGAGAGAAAGTATAATAGTGATTCTTATAACAAAGTTATTCATTCAGAAAACCAGCATCAAATATTAGTACTGATATATATTATTTGATACAGTCTTGCAAACTGACCAGAGTCTGCCTTTATTATCATAAAAAGGTGGAATCACGTATTGACTTACTTTATGTAAACACACAGATACTACCAAATTACAAACCCAGAAGGAGCAAATCCTTGATACCTGTCTTTGTGTGTGCAGAAACAAAAAAAGTAACAGTCCGTGCCTGTTGTTCTATATATATAATGGACGAGTACAACAAACACAGTATTAATAGATAAACAGAGATTGCACCCCTGATAAGCTTTTAACCTTGTGCCTCAATACAATACATCAGACTGGAGACAAGACAAGCGCGTCCCGAAGCATCCAGCGCTTACCAGATATGACATTCCAAATGCCAGCTTCTTGAAGTTATTAGCTGTGTGCATCAAATACCTTGTTTTGTTCATAGTCCAGAAAAATTTTAGTCATGTCAACCAATGGATAAAACTAGTCATAACACTTACAGATCACCTATCGTATGCGTTGTGTCATATTTCGATCTTCGACATGTTTGGCAAAGGAAGACGTTTGTGGCAATGAATTTGTCGCCTCAGTTACTGTCATCAGACAACGGATGACAAACGTCATCCTGAATTTTGAATGGACAAGTGATCACTTTTTTGATACGCATTTTATACCGCTGTGATGATACTAATACATTTTTCCTTAGGAAGATTTTACTCACCCAGTAAGCGCGTCAGTAAACTCTACATTGTCTTCCCATCTGTTTTACTTTATATGGATCACAAGTACTAAAACGTCTTTTCGTTCGTTACATAAATGAAAGAATCCCCCATAGGAACCCATTTTAATTTGAGAAAGGCCATCCTAGTCGGGGTTCCAATTATTTGGTGGATTTTAATAAAATCTCTTCAATTAAGCTTTTTTCTCTGATATAATGATAATAACTTATTGCAATTGATTTGTCGTGTAACGTGCGTAATATATTCGCGGATACCTTGCTAATTTTATTGGTTGATAACTGTTTTTCGAGTTTTGACCATCATTACTACTGTGCACCTCTCAGGACATTCATAGTGACATATATTAACCCCCATAAGATCTACAAGCTGACGTTATTATTAGTTTCTTGATTTATCTATGGAACAAAGGCCCGATTTATACAACAGGATTAGAGGACAATTTAAAAGATCTTCGGCTCTATTCTGAGAAGAGTTTACGATAGATTGCACTTGACGAAAAAAGGAAAAGTATCAGTGATACACATATATTAGTCTTTCGGTTACGTGAGAATTTACTTGCTGTGCTAATAGTTGATCACGCATGAATAGTGTTTGTTGTTTCGGTACAAGGAAACATTGGTTTCGATTGAGAGGGGGGAAAGTTGGGGGGAGATGGTCAAAAGAATGATAGACAACTTGCTTGGTAAGCAAGTACGTAATATCCGAAACGTACTATTTGGGATGCTGACATAACAACGTTCTCAATCGCGCAAATGATAAATCGCGTGTCATATGATATTAACAAAAGTTTCGGTTTATACTATAAGCATAAAATGGTTTCAATACAGTTACGAGTTCTCCCACCGACAGAGAGAAGAGAAGAGAAGAGAGCTTTGACTCGGACCCACCACTTTGAAGGGGTGGGGATGTGTGGATGAGGGACAATATGAAGGACGAGTTTAGCTTTTTGCGCTTTACCAAATAAGGTCATATGATGACCTGCATAATAATATTTCAAATGCCTCTCAAGCCTTATTTGGTTTAATGCATAGTAATGCAAGTAATAAATTCAATATTCCTGTTATTTGTTCATTACAAAAGTCACTTTTGGACTGGTGCCATTCTATTGATGTCATTTTTGTGCCTATAATAACAACAACAACAAGGAGTTATCGATTTAGGGTATATATGTGTTGTGTTTACTATTATGGTATTTACTTTTTCTATGCATCTTTTGGGAAACCCTTATACCTGTTAGATAATGCATTGCCTTTTTATGGAGATTAAAGAAACCTACGAGCCTATGATTGTGTTCGTTCTTAATTGGATGGTGAAAAAAAGATTCGCATTATTTGGATTACGTGTATTTGGGGGGAGGGAAAATAAAATAGAAAATTGGGCGCAAAAATCGTCGTCTTTTTGTAGAATCGACGCCACAAACAAAACAAGAGAAAAAAAATATTCCACAATTATTCATGTGTATGACGAGTACAAAGGTTATTACTTTTTCATTAACAATTATCGTTCTAAGCTTAATATACAAGAAAAGAAAACTAACGCCATCGCCCATCTCCTGAAAAGTGTCTTTCTTCTCATATTGCTCAATAAATAAAAGAGAAGGGCGATATGTTATATACAAAAGAAAAAAGACTTGACAAAGCCTGAAATATTCACAAAATATATATAATACATTCACTAAAGTAAATCAACTGATTATCACGAGGAAAAGGGATCGCGCTATGTGTTAACGCTAAACCTATTCTGAGAAATGTCCATTCACCACAATAACAATTTTTATTAATTCAAAAAAGAATTCAGTCATCGTCTAACGCGAGATGTGCTAGCCGATCGCTGCACTTTGGGTTCGAGCTCGAGTGATTTGGAGTAGAGATCCTGTGTAAAAGAAAACAAACGTTTTTTAGCATGTGAATAAAAAAATGTAGAAATGCCGAAATTAACAATTGTTTACTTACGTCTTCATCCAAAATTTCCGTATCGTTAATAAAGTTCTCAATGAATTTATTGGGTTTTATATTGTATGGTCTGTGGGGAAATAAAATCAGTTATTACACAAATGTCTTGAAAAGGAAAAAAGTTCATTATCTGCCAAAAAAACGTCCATCTCATGTTTACTTACATCTTTTGGAACTTTTCAATCACCATGAACAGATCTCCCATCATGGAAAACTTTTCCCAATGCAACTTTCCGTCTAATCTCATGTTATTGTTACCCTCACATATCGACACTAAATCGCGCAAATGTATTCCAAGGTAGGGTATTGCCTTGTCATCCTCACCGCACGATTTTAATGCCGTTCGGTAGTTGTGATAAGACTTTTCGCTGCACATGAGAATCTCGAGCGAGCGGTATTTCTTATAGACGGATTTTGACTGTACGATTTCCCACGTACGACGAAGGCGTTGGATAGACGTGCAATTGATACCGGCTATGATGGCCATTAGAGTATTGTAGTTGTTTGATTCGCGGATTATCTAAAAGAATAGAAATTTATTTGTTAACGAAAAAGCTAATGCGGGCATTTTTTAAAAAGGGGGTTCCAATCGACTCTATTAAACTTACCACTGCAATCTTCATAAACTTTTTCAGCATAGCAGCACGATGCTTGACTTTTTCTTGAGAAAGAACCATTGTTGATACCCAAGCAGAGATAAAATTGAAATGTTTGATCGACGCAGCTACTGGACCCTCTAGTCTGCGGGGACAGTCTGAAGGATTCCTGACATGTCTAAGAAGATCTCGTGGCTGTTAACATGAATAAAAAACTATTAGTTATCATAAAAGAGGGAAATGCTCTAGTCAAATTTATTATTTACCTGAATCTTTTTAAACAATTGCAACTCTTCATAAGTCAACTCGGCCGCAATAGCCTTTTCGGGCAATTCCTCAAAAGGCACTTGACTCAGAGTTCTCGGGTGTGCTGCGTTTCCAACAACAATCAAACTAGCCTTTCTCTCACCCAACGCATTCCTTTTACGTAACTTGACTTCGTTTATCCCGATATCAAGATGAATGTCATCATCTTCAAACACATCGGTATTGAACCAGTTTGCAAAGCCGGAATCGGTCTTTGTCGAGTGTTTTATCGTATGTTCGCCGTGGTATTCGACAGACAGTTCGTCAGAGTGGGGTGGAGTAAGTTTTTCAAAGTCAATGTCTGGGTAATCGACATCTACATGTCCCCACAAGTCGTCAATGTCTGTTGTTGGTGAATCGGCCATGATGAGAGGTTCGAGGATTATTGCATAGTATGATAGATGAGAGCAGGATGTGATTGTTTGCAGGAAAGTACGAAGGAGAGCGCGGGTTTGCAGGTGAATCATGTCTTGAGGATGTTTTGTTATCCAATGGTAGATTAGACTGCATATTCTAAGGAGAAAAGGAAAAAATAAATAAAGATTAATATCACAATTACCCCCATCTATACCCATCCATACCAAAACAACATCGTAAAATTTGCTACTTACTTTTGCTGTGCAGGGTTTCCTCTTTCACCACCAGCATTTCCACTATTCTCGTACTTTTCAATCAACTTTTCCAAAACCTCTCTTGGTTTCATAAAAGTTCTATAAACACAGAAAAAGGTAATGACAAACGGATCTTCGTGCGTTCCGTATCCCCCGCCACAAGTCAACCTATCGATCAATTCATTGATTGCCAATCCACACTCTTGAACATTACTATTCGAACGACGTGATTTGTCTACTGGGTCCATTTGGAACATACAATCCCAGTTTGTCGAGCCGTCGCTTGCAATTGAAAAGGAGGAATCAGTCGACATTCGTGATTCGGTCGATTGAGTGTCTTTTTGCGACGTTTCTTCGTCAATTTCTTTGACTTGTAAAAGAGTAGAGTACGGTAACAATGCTCGTCGATGGGGAGGATGAGGAGTGCGGTTTGTCGGGGACGTGTGAGCTGATGTTGGAGGCGATCTTGATGGCGATTGGGGTGGAGTGATGGAAATTTCAGGTGGTTTTGCAATAAAGCGAGGAAGAGATCTCGACAAGGAGCATGTAGCAACTCTTGCCGTCGACTCGTCGTCGCTCGCATATTTTGTTGATAACGATTTGCTGCTGCTGTTGTTATACCGCCAATTTGATCTCCAAGATCTGCTAAGTTCTTTTCCCAAGTCTTTTTTCTTTCTTGTGTGGTTGTTGTGACTAACATCGCTACTTGTTCTCTTGTGCTTGTAAAACGGGATAAGGTCCAACTCGCTTATGGACGTTTCATGACTATCACGTCGCTGCCTCTTGTCCGCACGCTGTCTTTGGAATTCTCGTCGTCGGATAGCCAGACGAAGGAGCATGGAGAATACGTCGTGTATCTTTTCCGAGCTTTGTGGATTTGCAGTGTCGAGTTCGACAAAACCCACGTTGAATAAACCGCCCAGCTTTGTGCCGTGCGCAGTGTCCACTCGACGGTTTGGCGATTCTGATTTTGTGGCTACGAGGATTGCAGGAACCTCGAATTCTCTAAAGGCGCTCAATAGCCAAGCAATATTTGCTATTGTGTCTCGGTTTTCGCAATCGTAACATACCAAGACTCCGTCGATTTCGGGAAGGTCTCGTGGCCATTCTATGTCTGAGCGCATGTCAAAGACATCTTCTCGTAATTCCATGACTTCGACTGGATATAAATGATCGTCTACTTCGATCTCTGATATGAAGCTTGGGGTCTTTAGTATGCTCTGTTCTACGCCGACATTTTTTATTGGGGCAAGATTCCGAAGTCCGGTGCATGTTATTGTTGACTTGCCGACATTAGGTTTTCCTATTATCGCAAGGATAAATGTCTCGTCTGAGGGGAGTGATTGACGGCGCTCAACCGATTTTAGTGTTCTGTTTGTCGGTAACTGCGAAAAAAGACGTCATATCAAGTTGGTATATTAGTTGGTTCCAAGTAATGTTAAGCGTTTGCGATCCGCTTGTACTTTCTTTTTTTTTTTTTTCTTACCTCGTTCTCTCCTGTTGTGGACGTTGGTGATAATGATTGAATAGAGTCAATTGATGTAGAAGGTGTATGAGAAAACAGCTTGTCTCTTGGAAATGTCAGGGATAGTCTCTTCCACATTATGTATTTTGTTTGAGTATTTGTGTTTTTGTTCAAAAAAGTTTAATTATAGGATCGATGTCTTCGTAAGTTCTTGCAATGGGAGTTTTGATTGTGACCGTGCTTTTTTTGTATATACAAATGATAATTCTTATCTACAAAAAGAGATGGACTCTATAACTGAGTAGTAACTCCAGTATAAAGTAATCTCTCGACTTCAAATATGATAAAATAATGGGGAGGGGGACGAAAATGCGAAAGAGGTATTTATGTATTTATAGCTGGGGGCAAGTGTCGCACTAGTTGATGCGCAAATATATACAAGTTTTTTATGTACAGATAAAGTTGGGATTTTATTTATAGTATACTTGTTGTATAATATATAATAGAGAGTTATTTATTTGTCTTAATCTGGGTTAATATATTAGGAAGACAATGATGATTATTATATGTTGAATCCCATGCAGATTATATAGACAGAATACTCTTTTCGGTAGTACGTCGTAAATGATGCGAGCGTATGACAACAGTAACAGAGATTGCATACATACGATGATATACAGTGTTGACTATATATTATATCAATTGTATTTTGGCTGTGAATGCAACGGTTACTATTCTTACTCTGTCGGCCATTCAATGTTTGACAAGAAGCAAATAAAATATACAGGTTATTAAAACAATCTTGTGACAGCATATGTTTATACTGATATGTTCTGTACGGCTATAGATATAGATAACAGTAACCATAGTTATCCGCAGTTGATAAGTAATTATAGTTTTCTCTTTCTCTTTCTCTTTCTCTTTCTCTACGGGCCCGACCATAACTATAACAGTGTATATTAATCAACAGGTTTTTATAGAGAAGGGGTTCCTTCCCAAGTAAATTGGGCAATCATAATAACTGGGACGATAATAATAACTGGACGATAATAATAACTGGATGATAATAATAACTGGGTGATAATAATAATAATAATAATAATAACTATAATACCATTATTATTTCAACAACAACAATCTCTCTCTCTCAACGTAATCAGCTATTGTGCTACTGTTTGCAAATTTATTAGGGTCCATTTGATGACCTGCATGTATGGCGGGAGAATTAGCGGCGTAATGATAGAAACTTCGGTCTGCTATGAAATTTATCATGTCCTACTTGTCAACGCTGTTATCAGCGATATTTAATATAGATAATATCACAAATCAAGATAAACACATCAGTAAACTTATCGATATCGAATGTTACTGTGTTGCCGTATAACATATATAATATATATATCGCACGTATTAGAATATATCCAACATTACTATTGTTATAATACTGGTTGTTTGTTTGTTATTATTATTTATATATCATTTCTTTTTATATCCTTGGTCGTAGTCTTTCTCTACTCACAACCCCTATTATCGCATATCAACCAATCATTGCCTGACGATTTATCAACATGGAATCCTGTTTATGGCTCCATTCACCCAAAAATCATATAGTTTCTGTTTCCCCCGACCTGAAAAAGAAAAAAAACGATCATCATTTCTATCGGAGTTCAGGGATTTCAAGGGGAAGGGGGAAAGAGTAGGAGAGGAAAAAAAAAGGGCGGGCGGGCGAGCGGAAAATCTTAAATGGAATCCATATAAATGAGGATAACAACAGTAGTAACAGTAGTAACAGCAGCAGTAACAGTAGTAACAGCAGCAGTAGTAACAACAGCAGCACTAACAACGACACTAACAACCTGTTTGGGTTACCGACGAAATATCCATTCATTTAATTCTTTTCGTTTGCCTTGTTTTACTCTTCTATAGTCCACTTACTGTTATTGTAGTACTGTCTTCGTATCGCTTGCCCATTTTGGGGCAAAGCTATTTTGTTTTCGTAGATTGAGGCTTCTTGGCGCCCACTCTTAGTAATGTAGATGCCTCTTCACAATGCATCGAATAATGGAGAGAAGTAATGACGAAGAATATGGTAGAGAAATGGATTATACGGAAAGGATAAACTCCATGAAGAATAGTGGGTGGTATTACAACGATAACAATATTAAGAATAATAAGAAGCAACAACGCTCGTGACAACACCGCAACAATAATTAGTACTTTTTTACTCACTCTATCGGTGTGTTGCCAGTATTATTTACACATTACGTCAGTATACTTCTTTCTACTGCAGTATCTGTATATTGCAAAGGTCACACTGAATATTTCGAGCGTCATGTTTGCCACAATGGGGTGTAACTATAATAGTATTAGCCTGCATATTTGACTGACACAATAACAATTTATCTAAATTTCTTCCCATTATCAGAAATTTTATTGTTTTGTTCAATTAACAATTTGGTGAATTCCAGTTGTTCATTTCCGTTCTCTCAACGAGCAAACTTTAAAAAAAAAAAAAAACGGTGCGTGTGTATGTATGCGTGTGCGTGTGCGTATGCGTTTGCGTATGCGTTTGCGTATGTAAATGAAGGGAAAACTTTAATCGTAATCGTCCGCGAGAGAAAATGAAGGTTGCGGCATCAACCTCAATGACGAAATGTGTATCGTTTTAAAAAAGGATAGGTATTACCATTCACTGCTGCGGTGCTGATCTGCATTTAATATTAGCCTTGGTTTGTGTTGATCCCGCAAATGCGAATAAATACTTTTTTGGGGAATACATTATATGCAAGTGAACTTGGAAATGGCTCGCATCAGCCTTTTTTTTACACACCCGCCCATCACACCCTTCGTATAACCCCGAGACAATGCAAGTCCTTATTTTTTTGCATACGAGTGTCTGCCTAATACGGAATGTGGTAAATTCTTGCGGGCATAATATTTAATTTCGCCTATTTGGTGTATGACTACGGTGACTACGGACACATGTGGTCATGTCGTACAACATGATATAATGCCGAATTAACGCAGCATTCTTGGCATCCACATCTCTATCACACACGCACTCTCTTTGAAATGCACATCTGCCGTCTATTTGCAATATCGAGAGATGTTCTCTTACAATACAGGTTTCATTTTATTGTATTCGTCTTATCAATCATTTTGTTTACATTGTTCTATTTCTTATTACGCACTCTTTTTCACTTGTTGGATAAATATGATACATAACATGACTCATTTAGGACAAAAAAAAAGAATAACCAAAAACATTTCATTGTTGTCTTGCGCAAAAGACTCAGAATAAAAGAAACACCGATTTAGAGTTATTTGTTTATTAACATCAATTAGGAAAGGAGGGAGAAGGCCGAAAGATTTCTATTATTGCTGTTTGTCCTTATTAGATAAAATACGATCATTTACATAAGAAACGCTCTAATCAGATTGGATTTCTTTGTCAACATCATCTTTCACCACATCTGGTTTAGAAAGAACTGGATTTTTGTTGCTCTGGTGTTTGACTTTTATGGTCAACACTGCAGTCATAAGCTTGCTTTGTCTAAAAGTGGGACATAATAATTGGAAAAAGACAACAAATCTGCTCTATAGCGCTAGTAACAACAAAGAACATATTACACAAACACTAACAATTACACCACTCCTAATAAAGCAATCGTTAACTGGTTGCTACCTGCATATCGACTGTCTATAATAGATACCATCTAGGTTGGAATAGATAAATCCGTTGATTCGGCCCCAAAAGCTATAATCTATAATCAATGACGCTTAATGGCAAGGTCACCCCACCCCCACCCCCACCCCCACCCCCTGCGTTTGAAGCGTTTGATTTAGCTTAGGTCCAAATGAATACACTTACGCAGGGTTTGCCATACTTATAGGTAATTGTGACTATTTTTGGTCGATTTGACTCGTTTACTATTTTGGTCCGTCATGTGTAACACGTGAATAATGCATCATATTTTTACAGAGTTTTTGCCAACAATTGCTAAATATGTATAAAAGTCTGATGGAAGAAAAGAATCACACGTCATAGAATTAACGTGTTGATGACATAACTAAAACTGCTCTACAGACATTCTTTTGTTGATCAAAGGAGTAGAACATAAGTTGTCGAGTAGAGCAAATTGATTAAACAAGTTGTTTTTCTGTTTGTTTTTTTTTTTGCTGACATACGAATTCGCAGATTAGTTGCAGTTGAAGAAAGCATGCTTCTGCGACTGAAACTATTACACTTGTTAATAGGTTCACCTAGCAAAGATACACATCTCCCCAAGAATGCAAGCTACAAATTAAGCATCCAAACGTCATATGAATTACATGTGCCTGATCAGAAACCTTGTCGCTATATGGGGATGGATAGGGAAATTAAAAGGAAAAAAGGCGGAGAATGAACAAATAAAGTAAAATGTGTAAATATAAGCTTAATGTATAGCAATTACATAAAGTAATTTGTTCAAGCCATAATTATCTAGTCCCAACTCTGATCCGTTTGTCTCGATATGTCGCCTGTAGTAAGAACAATTGCAATTCCATCTAACTGCATAATGACGCCAACACTAATATTGCCTCTTTAGTTTTAATTAAAGTTCAACCTTTTTTTAGATGTTGCGATGCAGCCCTTTGCTAATCATGATCAATAACATCAGCTCCACATTCTTCCATGCAAGATGGGAATATTTCGTTTTCACACTCTCGGATAATTGAGAACCCGACTTCTTTAGACTAGATTTTTAATTCATTTGTTTGTATTCTCATTAAGAGTTAGATACTTTATCTTTAATATCTCGTGAGAGTGTGGCATGGTAATATTTAATATCCGAGGCACCCTCACGACAAACGCCGATAGCATGATTTACGCCGTCCATGCGGGGTTGCTCGACCCGATCACACGGCCAGTGCCCGTAACACACGGCAAGTCTTTTGTCATTTTAGCATAAAGAATTTCGAACGATTTCTTTTTGTCTGCCAAGTAAGCGGATTGATTATGCATGCATATGACTACGAGTCCCGGACCCTCGGTGGTTATCGGCAAATTTACAGGATCGGCCGGCTTATCGAGGGTTGTGTATGTGCGCTGATTAGGGCCGGTCTTATCGGCTGACTAATATGCGCCCATCACCAACTAATTCGTACATAATGAAATTTCTCCATTCTTCTCGGTTTGTTTCATAATGTTTATCGATACCACAGAAGGGGGGTGGCGTGAGTGTAAGCCCACTGGAAAATTATTGCGAAAACCCTTTTCCCCTTGGTGAGTCCATACCAAATACTTCTTTAATATTATCGTCATTGTTTGACACAAATTTGAAAAGGTAAATGCACGTGTTTATTTGTATAAATGTATGGTAAAGGTATGCCAAGTCTCATAGGTCAATAAGTACACATGCGTACATCTCCGCATAACTGGCACATGAACCGAGTGTTCTCACGAATTTTCCAGTAAATTCTTCTGCACTATACGTAATAAAGGTTCTACGATTTCTCTAGTTCATAACGACCGACTATTAAATCCTTGCATCAAAGCGGATAACTCGGTATGTTAATAAAAATATGTATTTTTATGCTTAAATTCAAAAAGTAGAATAGAATTGCAGACCAACATGATCAGGTTTATTTATTAATCAATAAATACAAGTATAACAATAATATATAAGTGTATAAATTCCAATCCACATACCAAAAGTATGCAAGAGCAACGGAACATGCTTGCTCACCACCTACCGTCTGCGTATACTTATTAATAACCAGCAATTTACCAGCATCCTAAAAATACGGTAGAAATTGCACACAACGAAATAAAAAGATGTTACTGTATCTTTACGTCGATTATCTGTTCTTCTAAGTGTTTGGGTCATTTGCCGAACTTTTACAATAATAAATGAGATAGAGAATTAAAAAAGCGATTGAGTTGTTAAAAACCAGGAAATAGCAGTAAATTATGTCATTATCTATGGGCTTTCTTGTTTGCAAATCATGACAAGTGAAATTGGAAATTGTCTACTGAAAGATTATCCAAATGTCAGTTTGGCTTACACATTGCTTAGAATGTAAACATGTTTATAAACGACAGTTTTACTATAACAGTCTTGTGATACTAGAGAAACTCGCGTATCTAACCCAAGGGATTTTGGATCTAATAATGACAGACCAGGCGATAACCATGACAAGGAAAAGAAGAATCATGTCGACACCCCGTTTCAGCAAGACGGATCCCAGCCTTTTTCTAAGTAACCCTACAATCTCGCAAGGTTTTTGTGTATGACAGAATTGGTATATTTCTCGGACACTCTAATATACTGCATATCTCTCTCGAAATTGTTCTTTGATTTAACTGTTATTATTATTTCTTTATTCAGTAAAACAACAATTGCTCTCGTTGGCGACTGAGGAAAAAAATTTTGTAGTGCGCAATCCGAATATAGATTCCTCGGTCACATTATTCATACCGACAACAGTGTGTTAGATGTGAATTTAATAATTATAATGTTGAAACGTCATTAATTCCGCTCAAACATGTAACAACAATGGGTGTCATAAATGAGGTCACACTCATCAATTTGTCACAGGAACGAAACCAAAAATTCTGTCATAAAGTTAGTCATTATTTCTTTTCGAGTGAATGTAACATTTTATCTATGCAATACTATATTTCATCGGTAAGTGTATTTAGTATTAGTTATGAGAATTTAATAAAAAGGCAGTTAACAATTACTAATCGTGAAGCACTTACTACACACGATTAACATCCAACTACACTGATACTAATAACTAACGTAAAGACTTATAATAAAGATAAAATACGGTATATCCCAAGTGCAATAAATAAACAGCTTTAAAATTGTTCATTAAAATTAATATCTTTCCCTTCTCATGAAACATAATGTAGTAAATGTTGATCGTCCTTTTCAACGAAATGCTCAGTCCTAACTTTAATCAATATTGTATTACCGGAAACTAAGTACAAAAAAAAATGCTGATATTTACTTTTTAAAAAATACATGGCTTTTGGTTGTATGCTTAGGTTGGACTTATTCAAGTAACCCATCGATTTCTATAATTTTAGTTTTGATTGATTGCTTATTGTTGAAAAATATATATGTTACATATAATTTGCATTGTTGTGTATAATTTGTGGGGCAGATAAATTTACCCCTTACTGATAATAAGCAGTAATTATAAAATGGCAAGTGGCTGATGAGATTGTGATAACACAACGATAGTCTTTTATCAATTGCAAATTTCTCTCTATGTGACAAAGCAAAGAAGCACAAGCCTGAAATGGGTACTGCATCTGGCTCCCAATTCACCAGAGCTATGTCTGGCATCAGCAGTAACAAGGTAAATAGTACCAACTTGCCTAATTATAATGTCAAGTCTTTGCTATTTTTTTTTAAACTCACAGTTGAAATTACACTACCTGTACCTGTAGGCATCCATGGTTCCAGTCTCTGCTGCATCACCCTTCCATCACTGAGGTCAAGGCTGGAGTGTTAAATGTAGACAATCTTATTCAGCATCTTCAGCAAAGTTGAGTAGAGCAGCCCTTTTAATTCTCCAGTAATAGTAACAAGAAATCACTGGCTATGCAATTCTAAACTTGACAGTGAAAGAGCTTGTGGCTGATGGCCTGAAACACGGACCAGTGTTAACTACATGCAAGAGCTAAAAGACATTAGTATGTATCTTTTCAAGAGAATGTGCTTTTTGTGCAATATGCTATGTGCTTATTATTATTATTATTAGGGAGGCAATCATTTTGTCGACAATCATTTCACCGACAATCATTTCACCGACAAATCTTCACCAACATTATTTCGAAGTTATCCTTTTTTGGTAGTTAATTGTCGGTGAAATATACTGTCGGTGAAATGATTGTCGATGAAATAATACGGACCCTTATTATTATTATTATTATTATTATTATTATTATTATTATGTTAACACTGCCTGTGATTTGATTAAACTGCCTTGCTCCCTCTTATACTAAGGACAGAAAGAGGAGTGAGAAGAGATGTTAGAAATGAAGATGCCTTATGGGGAGAGAGTGATGAGATATTTTCTATAATAGGTCTTGTAGTTTTGGGGGTAGTGCTAATCGTTCATCCCCCTGCGGGTTTTAATTGCGACGCTCCTTACGAAAAGAAGTGCTAAAACATCATGTCACCAATAAGAAACAATCAACGTTAGACGGTTTTTTGTACCAGAATGTAGTTTGTAATCTTTTTTAAACAAAGCCGAATATCGAACAAGATATATATACAAAAATAATTCTTGATATTAACGATAACTTGCTATACGATGAAAACATGACTTAACGGAAGTATCGTTATTATTATATCCAGTCCTGACCGTATATGGCATACTGCGGCGTCAACACAAATTGCTACTATTGGTGAAAATATTGGGCTGCTCGCGTGTTTAATATTCCAACGCAATGCAGATTTCGTCCTAAGAATAATTTGCCTGATTCTGATCAAGAGCTTCTGAAGGAGAAATATTAGAAAGTCGTGGTTGCAAGTGAGCCGTAGTATTAGGGGGGGAGGTGATGTTTGACAAATTGATATCTTTGTAGAGTGTAGCATTATCGACGAGCAGAAGGACATTTCGTGCGTGAGAGAATTTACTATATTCTATTAAGATAATGATTAAAGACGGAGCTTTGCATCCACGCTTCCCCCCGTAATATCAAACTGGTAAACTTGATTATCGATATTTTTGATTGGGCGAGAATTTTCGAACTTGTGAATAAAGAGAGGCAGGAATTTTTCCTCACCCGTTGCGTTACAAGTCAAAAAAACAAACGTGATACGTTCTTTAGACTTTTTTGTGCCAGATACAGGCAGAGTCGATAAGGCAGCCAAATAGTGCAGTTTCATAAGCGTTAAAAATTGTAAGCAGAATAAGAAGTGATTTCTCTCTTATAGCTAAAACGAAAAGTATGTGGACGTCAGGATGACGACCATGGTCGACTTCCCCTACAGTAACATTCTATATCCTCCCTTAGAAAGAGTGAAAGTACACGATTTGGAATCCCCGATATTAAAATTCGGATATAATTTTAATCACATGACCATATGCAAACCACCTATACAGCCACACCTCCTGGCTAGGGGAGTATTATTGGAAATTTTGTCATGTGATGTTGTATATTATTTGCATCAATATCTAATCACTGAGCGCGTAATAAAAACGTCAGGTCCTGATAAATTTTAGTAGCTTTTTTCCTGTTTGCAATTGCAATAACTCAAGTCAATCTTTCGTAACATGAGTGCTCAGGTATTATTTTCGCTTTGTTTTGGTCAAGAAGATCGTTTTAGTAATATCTAATGGATCGCCAACAGTCTACGCAGTCTATGCAAACATACAAAATTCGTAAGGTACTTAACGTAATGTTCAGAATAATGGAGAAGAAAGCGTAGCTAACGACCATAATAGATCTTGACACAGATAGAAGAATCAGTGCAAAAAAGCTGTACTCAAGAAGTTGTTAAGATCAACCTTCCTGGTGGCCAACTCAGTAAAGTTGAGGTATACGAAGCAATACACGCCAAATATGATGCCGAAATAATTGGAGATGACCTATTTATAAGAGTAAGTTTTATTCTGGCCACAAGCTTATGTATGTCATTTATTATTCTCACCGATTTTTGTATCAGATTGACGGCGGATTGAAGGCAGATATCCATTTTCAACTAGTCTACTCTTTTAGGACGCAAAATCCAAGCTTCCATGCAAGTCTTAATACAATATGTATAGTTAGTGGACATCAGCTTCGCCCAGATGTTGGTGTATGGTTTCAAAAGCCAACATACCTACAAAGAAAATCGCCTATATCTTCTCGGTGCCCACCTCCTAATGTTTGGGCTGAGGTAATTCTACCACGTTTTGTTGAAAACAATGTATGGGTGTTACTTATCAAATTACTTAAATTATTTGAACTTTGCAGGTGTTTTTTAATCGTAGTCCAGATCGTTCCAATGCTATAAATAAGATCGATCTTATCCATAGAGACTACCCCCAAATTGAGTTTTTTGGGATCGCTCTCTCTTATTTTGCAACACCTTTTCATGCACCTCCAAACCAAAGGCCAACTAATACCACTCACGCGAGCATTGCACCGGCACGTCCCAGAGCACCTTATACGATGCATTGGGATGTCAACCATAACCCGATCTATTACGAAATGGACTGGGACCTTCACGTTACGCTTAGATGTGGTTTGATTGTCGACTTTAATACAGTGCTTGATGAATTGGCTTAAATACTGATAATACTTTCCTTTAGCGATGTTATTTTCTTATATCATGTGATAATATGTTCTTGAAATAAAAAAAAAATCAAAGGACTTTGTCTTTAAATACCAAGTTGCTAATAGAAATCAAAGAAATCATGACCCAGCTGATATCTTGTAGTGTATACATATTAGCCATATATTATTAGGGTAGCGAAAATAAGATAACTAGATAAGAATTTATTTGAGGCTTTGCCCTAGAACGTGGTAACAAGCTCGTGGTTTATTATTGTGTAAAAGTTAGGTTTATTATCGATCTCCTCGTTTTTTCTGTGATACAAATTATTACGATAATATGATGTGGCCCGTTAAATTCAAACGCTAATTTTAGCTCTTCGTTGTAACCGTCTAAATGCAACCCTTCTAAGAACTTTGGTGCACAATAGATCGTCGAAAATATGATCTTTCTCTGTGATAACATAATAATTAATTTCAGTGGATATTCCCATTGATGTGCGCTATTTTCACAGGACAACTATTTATTTTACCAGTTTTTGCTAAGACACTTCCTCCGCGCCTTTTAGCATATTCCTTCGCCTTAGTTAATTTTCCAGAAACTCGAATTATTATGTAGATGCGCATTATTATAATTGAAATACTATTGTACCCCAACGGTAGACTAAGAATTAATCCCATCTTAAGAGAGTTACTCGAGTACAATTAATATATCCAGGATTAGTTCGTAAGTGCAAAGCCTTGGTTGGACATAGGTCTTAACTGTAACCCGAGGTTACCTAGAGAAGGAGACGCCACGCTCTGCCAAAACTAGCTAAATTCCTACCTGCTCTCCTGGTATCAGGGGGAACTCTCCCTACAAAAGGTTTATCAAGCAAAGAGGTTTTAGTATTTTTCCAGTTAAAGATGGTAAAAGAACCATCTGGGTTAACAAGAGGATTATTCGTGGGAATTTTTTTGAAATAATTGGTAGGAACGGAAGTAGAGGGTGTAGACGGTAATAAGAAGAAGAGAGGTTCAAATCAGAAACAGGTTGTTGCTTGTTAGTAGACATTTGAATAGTAGAAGTAGAACAGTAGTACAAGTGTCTCGCATTTTTCGCCATAGTTAACTTGGAATTTTCATTTAACATACAATGTATAATATTTTCCTGAGACGTCAAAGACAGGAACCCCAATGCTACCCATGTAAATGTTGCTCAATTTAACTTAGACATCAACCCAACGACTGTTGGACGTTTACTGAAGCGAAATGACGTGAAAATGTCTCTAATACCAAAAGATTATGTCCAAATATCCTGATCTTGAAAACGCAATGTACGAATGGGCCATACAGAGTCAAGATATGTCAGAATATATTGGCATCGAATTGTTTTTCAACTCTAATGCTCTTGATAAAGAATTCCAGTAAACGATTTTGAGTATTTACCGCTTTTTGTAACCTCTGTATTACTTTCTTTCCAGGTCTGTTGTTTGTTGATTTATTATTAAAAACGATATTAATATTAAATTTACAGTCTATATAGTAGCAAATAAAGTATACAATATATCCACGTGAATTCAATATTACTGGTTCTCCCTAAATGCAGGTTTCTCTCTAAGTTGCAAGCATTGGCCTCGGTCCCAATGACCTGCACTTAGGGAGAGTCCACTGTATTCCGTTGCGACTAGGTTAATACTCGACGCCAAGCGAAGAGTTAATACTTAATTCGCTGAATTAAGAAAAAGTATAAAGAGTTCGATATGACGCCAAGCAAAATATCAATAACATTACGCTCGTTGGATTAAGCTTCCCTGAATCTTGGAAGGAATACGTAGAGAGTCAGGATTATTTGCCTAGACATGTGGACATCGTGGCGACTCGTATGCGTGACGGCTAATACAATTATGATTTAATCACACAGGCCCATAATGAAACGAACACCTTTAGCGTTCAATCGTAGGTGTAAACAAATAAAGAACGCAAAACTCCATAATGAAACGATGCTGAGAGGAATAGCCCATCGCGTTCACATCCATTTCCAATGTTTTTGCACTGAAAAAAGAATTACGTAAAAGAATCAAATAAAAACTACAAAGATAAAGTATACAGTATATTAATAATTGTGCAGAAGATCACAAATTGATGGCAAGATTAATGATATAAAAATTATTAAGAGTGTAATATTGTGCAGGTAATAGACCTTTTACCATTGAGAATGCAAGGTAAATAAATAGCTTGTAGTAAAAATAGAACATGTATTTCTACTGAATATATTAATGTCAATATCCGCAATGTGCAACCAGTCATCTCTTCATAATATCAAAGATGGTACTTATATTGTACAAACAAGGCCATTAACAATCACAATCATTAACCCTTGGTATTTCAAACAGAGCTGTGGCTTCTCTTACTTTAGTTAAATATAACAGTTGAATTAAGCTTTACTACTCACAACCTAGCGTCAATCAGTAAACACTAATCCGAGACAGTTATTCGCTCTCGAGTTAATCCACTATTCCCTATCCGATGAGATATTCGGAATCTTATAGGTTGGGGTATACTGTATCTGTATCTACTCAAACGTATGTCTCATGTTAAGCGAATAACAATCGTAATGCCACGAGAATATCCACGGGATAAGAAGTCTGTGCTGCCATCGACATAAACGTCGTTCGCATGACAATTTAAAAAGATTATAGTTACCAGAAAGGTATTCCAAGGCTTTATCAAATTGCCTGTCTCTAAATGGTGATTCACCGGTGGCGACTAAATGCATAATAATACCAAAAGAATATGTGTCCAA